AGTAGCATCCTTCCTCCTAGTAGCGATGCCCTTTGCTCCTAGTAGCAAACATTGTTACTACTAGTAAGGCACTTGTTACTAGTAGCGATGCACTTGTTACTAGTAGCGATGTTGTACTTCCACTTCCCCAAGTGGGAGTCAAAGTCCGTGTTTTTCTTTCTTTGCTTTAGACCTTTAGAGCCCATCGCTATTAGGTTTCCAACTTAGTTCTTTTCTTTGCTCCATGTTTTCTTCGGACCTTTAGACCTTTCCTTCTTTTTCCTTCATTAGCTCCTAGTAGCGTTCTTGCTCCTAGTAGCGATGCCCTTTGCTCCTAGTAGCGTCCTTGCTCGTTGTTTTGGCAATGTTTTCTGGTTTCTTCAAAGTGACCACACCCTTGCCTTCGTTCTGCCCAAGCCTCACGTCCTTAACATGCCTTTTGTTCGGTGAGTTCTGAAAACTTCGCACAACGCGGGGGCCTAGAGAATCGCAAGCGTGAAGAACTCGCTCTTAGGTTGGAGGCCATCGCTCTTAGATTGGAGGCCATTGCTTCTAGTAGGTTGGAGGCCATCGCTATTAGGAGCAAGGACGCTACTAGGACTTCCTGGCCTTTCTACTAGCAACAAGAAGCTACTAGGGACTCCTGGCATCGCTACGAACAGCAAGGACGCTAGTAGGTTGGAGGCCATTGCTAAAAGGAGCGAAAAGGTGTCGCTTTCTTTATTCGACTCGAGCTCAGGTGGCCATGCGGTGCCATGCGGTGCCATGTGTCACCTTTATCGTTTGCGCAGCTTCAACCAGCTTCAGAAGTTTAATGAGGATCATGTGCCTTTCACGTGCAATGCAGGAAATTCTGGGTGTGTATAGACAGCAGAGGAAACATGAACAGAAACCCAGTCGATCACCCATGGCATCTAATCCATGGGCCACTAGAAGTCCAGAGGTGCTTGAATTACCGAGTGTTGCTACCACAGAATGGGCCCAGAATTTCCTGCACTGAATGGATTGGACTTGGAATTCTGAGTTCTGAAGTGATACCTGAACAATTCTCGAGAAACCGCACGATTTGGTCGAAGACCACAAAGTGGAACAGACCACATGGCGGGTCAACTCGCTTGATGTCAGGCGAGACGCTCAAGAAATATGTCAAAGTGCTGAGGTATATCATGGTGTTGTGCCAAACTTTTAAGAACTATGAATTTGCTCCCCGGGAAGAGCGTTGTCAACGTTTACGATTGGAATTCTGTCTATGCTCTTTTTCATTCCATTTGTTTCACAGTGCCTCCGAAGAAGGCCCCTCAATTCAAGATGCCTCTGAAGCAGGTGTCTCATGGTGTTTCTTGTTATGCAGACCAGAAAAAAGCTAAGAGCAAAGACGCTACTAGGGGCCCTGGCATCGCTACTAGGAGCAAAGACGCTGCTAGGACCTCCTGGCCTTACTACTAGGAACAAGAACGCCACTAGTAAACTCGCGCCGACCAAGAGCACAGCAGATATTTTCTCACTCTCCTCCAAGCCCAGTGCGGCTGCACCTTCTGCAAGTGGAACCAGATTTCCGGCAAACAACAACGTAGAATTGAAACGGATAAAGCCGAATAGCTCTGGGCGCAGGTGACCTGAAGCGAATGCCTCCCAAACAGGTCAAAACGTCCTTGTGTTTATCTACTCAAGGACGGCAAGACCTCCGGTGAAAACAAAGCCAACAACATGCACTGGTAGACAAACTGGTAGAAAGAGTGAGATGACACGCCACTCAGTTCAGTGTGCACCACGTCCACCACTTGGAATCACACATACTTTGGGACGTTGCATCGCTGCTGAATAGGATTCCTGTCATTTCCTATCCAGGTAGAAGGCAACTTTTCCAAACTTCTTGACATGCAAATGTCCCCTTTCCACTTTCCAAAAGCCTCAGCTGTCGGATGATGGTCTGTGTTTAGTTTCAGAGTATGGTCCGGAACCTGGCGGTGATTCGATGCGAATACGGGAAGAATACGACTGAAAAGGGCTTTTTTAAAGAACGCCTCCAAACGAAACGCAGTTGAACTTCGCTTCAAAGCTTTAAGCCCATTATATTCTGAAGGGGCAATTCCTTGTGGTCAACATGCACCTTCTGTTTTGCCCCTTGAGCTCAGGTGGCGGAAGGGGAGGAGAGGGTTCTCCTCCATAGATACGATGGAAACTTTGATGTTGAAGTATATTCTGAGTTTGAAAAACATTAAAAAAAAACAAAGAGTAACGAGTAGAAAGAACAAACAAAAGGTCCGCAAAAACGCACGACATGTTCTGTGTTGGCAATGTCCGATGTCCTGACACATCTCGTGTTTCGTGTCTGCAGGAGATTGTGGGCCAGGACATTGGCGCACCGGCTTGGGTCTCACTTTGTCCTCTCATGTCCCCTCTCAGCTGTACTAAGCAATTACAAGAAGCTTCCAGTCTCAAATGTTGCAACAGAAGTTGATGTTGAAAAGGACGGCAATCGCTATGAGGTATGAATCCATGATTTTGGGAGCTCATTCTTTTGATGCAAGAACAATTTTGAACATTGAGCTGAGTGGGCACAAGTCTCGACAATCCATTTCAAACGTTATCTTTCCTGAATTTCCTCATGCTCTGTTGCACACAAGGTTCTGCACAACGTTCCTTCTGTAGATGAAGGAACATAGGGAAATCAAGGGAGCAAGGTTTCTTAGTAACTAGCTACTAACTGGAGGCCATTGCTATTGGGTTGGAGGCCATCGCTATTAGTTAAGTTTCTCTTTAAAACAAGAGGGAAATGAAGGAAAGGAGAATGTGAATCGCGTAAGGCGCTCCAGTCTGGTCGAGCCATCCCTTCACAACCGAAGCGTCCAAAGGCGCGTGGCTTTGACGAAAGATCTCTTGTTTAGACCTTTCTTCTTTAGACCTGCTTTTTGATCTTTTTCTGTAGACCTTTTGACCTTTCCCCTTTTTGAACTGAGACCTTTGGTTGGTTGGTTGGTTGGT